TATAATAGCCTATAATCAACGTCAGAATTTACTTGACAGTCTTGAAAAACTCCTGTGAAAAGCGCTGAATTGGTCTTATTGGTCTTACTGACTCATTGCGTTCACCCCCCTTTTCAAAGATCTCATAAGCTCGGCTTTTCTCAGCTGCTTAACTACGCCACTACGCACAATACAAATACGATTAATCGCGCTTATTCGAACATGTCGGTCTTATCTCCTCGGGGCAGTTTTGCTATATATGCGCCTAAAGAATCGATGCGCTTGGTTTAGGTTCATTATGCATGCAGTGGTATGAAAGCAATGAAAAGCTGACTCGATAGCATAACACAGTGCCAATTCAGCAAAAAAAAAACCAAAAATAAAAATTGGATAGTCTTCAAAATTAAAAACTATTTAATTCCAACAGAGGAAGTGCTGTGTTATAGGAAATCTGTGAGTTAATCGCATTGTAGCCCTCTTATCATAGTGTTACGGTAGTAACACAGACGTAGCATAGAGAGAGAATGAGAGATGCTGAGAGGCATAGAAACTTTGCTTGAAAATGTGAGAATCCCAAAATGTTCTATGCATTGAATTTTAGCTGCAGGGAGTTTTGAGAAGGATACTTAGCGGCAAAAGAAATTTTAAATCAAATACTTAGGAGTTTTCTATACTCACATGTGCATACCAAACTTTTGGTTCTCCACCTAAGAGATCCTTGAAAGCACTGCAAATATCAAGGAAGTAAATACATTGAAATGGAAATTCACGGCTAATGGTGGAACAAGGAGTAGCACAATTAAACCACATTATACAATAATACTGCATCCAAGTTACCGTACCCAATAGGAAATAATGTGAGAAGAATTTCCTACTTTCTCTCATAGATCTTCGCCTCGTTGAAATCTCAAATAATGGAGCACTGCTCCCAGGGGAAGAGCTTTTGTAGCGAAGTTTTTTTGTAGCACTCAGATATTTGTAAATGTTATAATATAATATTTTTTCGAAAAGTAGTGAAATGCATGCGAAGCTGATTCCCGCACGGAAAAGCGAAGCATTCGTTAGAATGGCTATGAATATTAAAGACACGAAAAAAGCAGTAAGTATGGTCGAATTTGAAGTTGCAGATAGATTGTCATCCTTCAAATCCATATAAATAATATCCTTCAAATTCATACTGAAT